CAGCCCCAAACATAGTAAGACTGTGACCCACGGACCCAGCAGCCCAGCCCTGCTCAGGCATCTGATATTTTCAGCAACTTGGGCCAAACCCGCTGGCAGGAGGTGAGCTTCTCAGGTCAGCCTCCGGGGACTGGGGGGGGGGGGGAGGGGGGGGGTGGCAGGGACAGTGGGCGCCAGGACTGTGCAGGATGAACAGACAACGTGCTGGAAGTGCCGTGAGCTTCCCCCGCGTGTCTGCTGCCGCTTATCTGCTCAGTGAAATGTGTGCAGACTCCACCTGGCCAGCTCTGCCCCTGCCCCTCGCTGTCCCGGCTGCCTCTGTGGCTCCTGCCGCTGCTCCCACAGCCAGCCCAGCTTTCCTCTCTCCGGTGTCCAGACCTTGTTTCTGAGACCACACGCCCTCCATCCTGGGCTCCTGTGGCTGCACGTGTTCTGTTGGCAGCCTTTGATTCTCCTGTGCATTTCCCCAGTTTTGCCCCAGGCCTGTGCAGCATTGCCAGCGGCTTGGAAATGCTGCAGGCAGGCTCTGTGCCCTCCCCCGAGGTGGCAGCAGTCACTTCCAGGTCACCCCTTCCACAGGGAGCCCTCTGTGCACTGAACCAGGCGATGCTTTTGGGGGTCCCTTCACCATCCACCTAGCCCCATGCTTCAGGACACATTTATTATGGGGTACTTGGTTGCACGCTCTCTCCTGTGCCCTGTATACATTCCTCAGGGCAGAGCTGCTCCTGCATGCCCAGCCACCTGGACCCAGCCCTTACTAAACTGGTGCTAGGGTTGGCTACTGAGGGCAGAACCTCCATTGAGACAGTTTCAGGACTCCTGAGAGGTGCTCAGAAATGGGGTCTAGTCCTCACCCAACCCTGTTGAATGGGCTCATATATACTCCTAGCATCAGTCCTGGGACCAGGATAGCCCCATTTATCTCCAATTGATGTGTCCCTGGCATGTGGAATTCCCTGAGAGCAGGGACCCTCTCAACCCTACCGAAAGACTCCAACCCTTTCCCCATGGCACCCCAACAATGTCAGCCTTCCCCCTGGTGTGTGTACAGAATCCTGGGACTCGGGAATGGCTCCCTCGGGGATGTGGAGGACACAGGAGCCCAGGGGAGGTTGGGAACAAGAGTGAAAGCAGGAGCTTCTGTTATCAAAGGTCCTCTCAGCTGCCCATGCCTGCCTTTAGAATTCAAGTGTGTGGGTGTCTGCAGTAAGCCCTGTGGCATCCACATGGCCTAGGCACCTACCCCTATTGCTCCCACCCCTGGATCTGAGCCTGCAATTGGGGGGCACCTATAAAAAAGGCTCTGGGGTGGAGCTGGAGAGACAGCACAACGAGTAGGGTGTTTGCCTTGCATACGGCTGACGGGGTTCGGTTCCCAGCATCCCATATGGTCCCCCGAGCACCACCAGGAGTAATTCCTGAGTGCATGAGCCAGGAGTAAACTTTGTGCATTGCTGGGTGCGACTCAAAGAGAAAAAAATAAAGAAGACAGGGCTCTGGAATTCTCTTGGCATATGGCACTGTGCCTTCTAGAAAGAACCCAAGTTGTTGTAACTGCCATGAATTGACCCCAGCAAGTGACCTGTCCAGGTCACCCCTTCCACAGGGAGCCCTCTGTGCACTGCACCAGGCGATGCTTTTGGGGGTCCCTTCACCATCCACCTAGCCCCATGCTTCAGGACACATTTATTGTGGGGTACTTGGTTGCATACCAGGGCTGGAGACTTAAACATGCCTCTGGTGCTTTAAACAGATAGAATCCCAGGCCTAAACCTGGACCTCCATCTGTCTTCTGAGTATAGAGGGTGTTGCCTACCACCCTGTGTTCCCAGACTGGGCAGCAAAGACTCAGAGCCCTGCCTAGCTGGTGGAGACAGCTCAGGGAGGGGGCATCATAGCCAGGTGGCCAGACAGTCTGAGGAAGCCTGGTGTTTGGCAGGCAATGGTCTTGCCTGAGCCCTGGCAGCTCTGGAAGCCCCCACCTCATTTGGGTTCAAGGACAAGTATCCCCACTCAGCAGTTGTGTAACCTAGAATGCTCCTTACACTTCCATAATGTTCAGCAGAAGCTAATCAACCCATAGCTTCCATGGGAAAATCCCCTCTCCTCTCAAATGTTATCCATTCTTGTGCCATGAATAACCAGACAGCCCCAGTCCTTCATCCCCAACCCTCTCCCACTCCCCAAATATCCACAAAGGCTGAAGGAGGTCTCTTCCACCCTCAGGTGGCATCACAATAGCTCCTGTTTCATTTCTCTTTAGCAGAACCCACTCCCAGCAATGCGGCAGCAGACCCGAGTGTAACTCCCACAAATGCACTCACTCTGCTCCTAGGAAGAACAAGATTCCGCCATGAGTTATTCTATACTGAGGCTGTGTCTGTCGCATCCTGCTGGAAACCAAAGTGTGGCCCTGGACTTCTTATGGAGTCCTTAGGTCATTCCTATGAACGATGTAAACTCTCAGCAAGTGGTCCAGAGTACTGTACCGCAGAGATCTGTACAGGTAGGCGAGTCCCTCCCTCCCATGCCCCTTCCTCTCAATAGGGTGGTCCGCTTCCTGCTCATATGGCCAGGTAGACAAGGCTGGGCCCGTCCTAGTGTTGACAAACCTTTTTTGAGCAGCATTCAGTTGCCGGTTTGGTGGTTAGACACCAAGAATGTGAGACAGCAGGGATATGGGTGAGGTGGCAGAAGATCTACAGAGGGTGTGGATTTGGTCAGAAAGATGAATGCTCAGTGGACGATGGCAGGAGAGATGAGTGAGCAGAAATTGGATGTTGGCCAAGCAGTCTTCCTCACCCTTGCTGGCCTCTTGGCCTCATCAAAGACAAGTTGGAGCCTATCTGCTTTGTTGAGGCACATCGGGGAGCTGGTATATCTCCCCAAAGCCATAGGTCCAATTTTGTAGGACATAGAGACAAGGATTAGAAATATCAAAAAGCCAAAGTGACCAAGCAATGCCCAAACAAGCAAAGTCTTCGGGCCAGACCCAAAGTGATCCTTGAGTGGATCAGACCTTTGTGATTCTGTGATAATAGATTGTCCTGCAGCACTGGCCACGTTTGCTGGAATAGCTCACCTTCAGGTGCAGTGCGATGGGTCACAATGATCCTGCGAGGCTTGGCCCTCCGCGGCCCCCGCTTCCCAGGCTTCTGCAAAAGGAGTGTCCTCCCAGGGCAAGCTGGCCTGGTGTCAGACACTCCCCAGGTCTGGGTGAGTGGGGGAAGAGGCCACACCCCTGAAAGTCTTACCCCACTGAGCCAACACAAGCTCATCCAAGCAGGGAAATCCTGCCCTAGGACCTAGTTGGTACTGATGGACCCTGGCACATGGCCACCCAGGATGCCAAGGCCCCAGCCCAGGGACAGATCAAGGGGCACAAGAAGATTTTCCCACTTTAAAGGCCCAGACCCACTCCAGAGGGGCCTAGAACGGACAGGAAACAGGGATAGGGGCATAGGCTTTTACTTTGGAAAACAAGTCCAGGAGTTTACTTCCCTCCATAGGACAGGGAAGAGAACAGTTCTGTGGATGGGGAAAAATGAGGGTCCTGGGAGATGGAGGCTCTCGGGAGCTCTCCTGGAGCCTCTGAAGTAAAGTCCTCTACAGAGGGAGCCTGAGATGCTACAATTCTGACTCTTAGTTACTGTTGGGTTTTACTTGTTTTCCTGTTTTTGTTTGTGGGAGGGGGTTGCTGTTTGTTTAATTTGGGGGCTACATCTGGTGGTGTTCAGGGTTTACTCCTGGCAGGGCTCGTGGGACCATTTGTGGTACCAAAGATCAAACCCCTGTCAGCCACGTGCAAGGCAAGTACCTTCCTCACTGTACTCTGGTCCCCTAGTTGGTGCTATTTTCAATAGGAGTCGCATCCAATGGTGCTTAGGGATGACTAGGGCTAGATCCAGCGATGCTCCAGAGTCGTGCAGTGTCCCAACCTGAGCACTACTTAATTATAATCCCTTCCCCTTCCACCATCCACCTCTCCATATAAATTGTAGGCTTTAGGATCTACAGGAGAAATTCAGTCACTGTACTTAAAAGAAACATGACTGCTGGAGTATAATACCAGTTTTAAAATAGAGTAGAAAGAAGAAAGATGAAGAAGAGGAGCTGGAGAGACAATACAGTTGGTAAGGCACTTTCCTTGCACATGGCAAAGCCAGGTTTAACCCCCATGTCCTAAATGGTCTCTCAAGCCCCATCACAAGGGATCCCTGAAAGCAGAGCCAGGATTAAGCCCTGAGCACTGCAGGGTGTGGTCCAAACAACAACAACAAGGAAATAAGGGGGAAAACAGGAGAAAATGGGGGAAAATAGGAGAAAATGGAGGAAGAAGAGGAAGGAGGGGAAGGAGGAAGAGGAGGAGGAAGAAGAGGAGGAGGAGGAGGAGGCGAAGAAGATGAAGAGGAAGAAGAGGAAGAGGAAGAAGAGAAGAAGAGGAAGAAGAGGAGAAGGAGAATAAGAAGGAGGAGGAAGAGGAAGAGGAGGAGGAGGAGGAGGAGGAGGAGGAGGAGGAGGAAGGGAGGATCGGTAAAACACAACGGGACAACTAAATACTCAGCCATCCACAGAGATACCCAACTCAGAGGATGCAGAGCTGATGCCGTGTCCATGCCCAGTCAGTACAAGTCTGCAAGACTCCCCTGCCCTGCTTCCTCTGTGTTGAGCGTTCTCGGCTAGCATCCTCAACAGGGAGCTCAGTGGAGGCTCATAAGTCTGGGAGGCCACTGACCCATCCAGAGCCTGCACCAGAGGGGACAAATAGCAGCCTTACGCCCTACTAGGAGAAACCAAGGAGCCCCCAAGCCTGGACGCCTGGGCGGAGGGCTCGCGGCTTAGCTGTGGATGCTGAGGTTCCAGGATGGGCACCGCGGGGATCCCAGCCTGGCAGGCTAGGCTCTGCGCGGCGCTCGCCCCTCGCTCCGCGCCCCTGGGTGGAGGCCGCTGAGCTGGCACTGGGCTCCCAGGAGTGCGCCTGGCGGGTCCTACCGGGCGGGGCGGGCCGAGTGGCCCGGGGCTCCTCCCTCCTCGGCCGCCCGCACTCTTAACCCGCGCTCAGGAACGCCCGAGTCACTGGGCTCCGCCGAGCAGAGAACCGTGGGCCCGCACGCGTCCGGTCCCGAGGTCGCCGCCAGCACGCGACATGGCCCCCGCAGCGGCGTCGGGGGGCAGCTCCCTGCCCAGCGGCTTTGCCGTCTTCGCCACCTTCCCTGACCTGCTCTTCATCTTCGAGTTTGTGAGTGGCCCGCGCTCCCCGCGGGGCTGCGGGCGGACAGGGGCGGGCTGCGCGGCGCTAACGCCCGGGAGTCGGGTCCCCGCGGCGTCGGTGCGCCCTGGGCGCGCTGCGGGGTTTCCAGCCTCGGGAGACCCGAGCAGCGGGAGGGGAGCCGTTTCCTCGCTGCCCAGACACCCATCCCCATTCTCCTTGGGAGCCTTCTAGCCCGGCTCCACGACTTGGGTGGAAAAAAACCATCCAGCCGAACAGGGGTCAGCTGCAGGACGCCGGCCGTGGCCGGCAGTTTTAGCGCTGATGCCAACGCCGCGCTCCAGACCTGCTTCACCTGGACTCTGCAGAGAACACCTTGTTTGGAGAGCGACGTCCTTGTGGACTGGCTTGGCTTTTTACCAGAGTTAGCTTTTGTTTTTTAAAAACCAACCAAACAAAATAACAGCCAAGAAAAAAAAAAAACAACTAAAGCAAACCAAGTATCTGCACCCTGAGTGTGGAGATTGGGGGTAGTCTAGGGTATTTATTCTCTCTGGCCTGGGAAACTATGGGTTCAGCTCATCATATTTGTGATATCTGTGATCAGCAAATAATCAGAAGGGTCATCGCGTTCTCTGCCACAGTCTTTCTGCTCTGAATGGGGCTGGCGGGCAGGGGAAGCATTTTCACCTAGGGTGCCCCTTAAGGCTTTAAACTTCCAGAGATGCAGCTTTTGTGGAGGTGGACTTGCATATAACCTTCCCTCTCCCTGGCTCCTTACCCCATATCCCCACCGCAGAAGTGGCTGCCTGGAGAATAGGTGGGCAAAGTGAATGTCTAAATGTCTAAATCTGGCTACTTGCAAATGGGGCCCCAGCTTCTTAAGGCCCCATGAGAGGCGGGAGAGTTTGAATACCAAAGGGAGCAGTTTCTGGTGTCCTTACAAGGTGGCCCTTGAGATATTGGTCTTTCGAAATTTGTAAGTTCACTTGAGCCCGAACCTGTGTGTATTGGGGGGCAGGGGGTGAAGGAGGGTGACTTCACATCATGGGGCTAACCAGAATCAAGTGACTTCTGGAAACATCTCTGGACTCCCCATCACTTACAGATTGGAACACCCTAGCAGGAATGAGGGAGGGAGTTGCACACACTAGAACATTCTTTCCCAGCCATCTCTATACGTGTTGCACACTTGGTCCCCCGCTGGCCCAGACTGGCTTGCTGAAAATGAACCAGCCTTGCCCATGACTAGGACACTAAGTCCCAGGGGGTGCCTTCCCTTGGCCAAGATTCCTGACTGAGTGATGGCTAATGGTGAGATGGGATGGAGCAAAGAAAAAGCAGCAAAAGGTGTTCCCAGAGTCTCTTCCATTGATTGCCCTAATGAGGGGCTTAGTTGCTTTGGCAGCGGTTTGGGAAGCATCTGAGGAAGAATGATGAGAGCCTGTTTCTTGGGCTTATGCAAAAAGATGGTGCCTCCCTTCCTTCTTGCCTTCAAAGAAGCTGGCCCAGGGGCAGGCAAGGGCAGGTGGGTACTCTTATGAGTAATTTAGCTAAGGGGTGGAGTGCCCCTAGGTTGTATGTCGTGCGGGGAGGAGGGGAACAGCCCACCCAGGAAGGGCAACCTGCAGAGGAGATTCAGGAAGCCCCCACAGACTGGCAAGCGAAGAGAAGGAACCCAGAGCCCAGCATTGCTAGAAACTTCCTCTCTGTAATGTGAAGTAGAGACTTCTAGAAGGCATACTTCGACTTCTAGTGGAATTAGAAGTTGAATTATGAACTTCAGCTTCAATTATGAATTCTCTCCCCCACCTCAGCCCCTGCTCCCAGGCCATTCCCAGCTTTCTGAGAAACCTTGGGTTCTCATTTGCCACATCTGAATGGCTAGAAACTGACTCTCTGGGTTCCTGAAGGGTAGAGGAAAAAGTAGTCCACGTCTTGAGAAGCCTCTGCTGAGATTGTCATTCCCAGACCATAGGTGTGGGCAGAAACTTGAATCAGAGGACCCCAAGGAGCTCTGAAATCAAACCCCAAGGGCTGATCCTGATTAAAATTGTGGTTTGTTATCAACCCCCAAAAGGCATCCAGCCAGAAAATGGGTAAAGGGGGAAAGGAAGCATGTTTGCAAAAAAGGGATGCACCTGTCCAATGAGCGATTGGAAAGATGCTCAACATCATGATTCAGGAGGAAGAAGAACCTAAAGCACGGTGAGCTGCCATTCCTCATGCTCTTAGGATGATCCAAAGACCCGAGAAAAGAAAGGGCTGAAAACGGAGCCCTCTGACAACACTGGTGACTTCCCTGCTGGTTCCTCCACTGGTTGTTATAACTAGCGTTACTGTGAACCCACATGTCCCTGTACCCAGTCAGTTCACGACATGCAGTTCTTCTGGCTATCAACCGAAGCATGGGGTTGCTGGGTTAGATGTCATGCTGTGTCTCTCATGGGGCAGGCATCACCAAACCTGAGGTCTGGCTATTGCAAAAATGGTGCAGCTGCTATAGAGAACAGTTCAATTTGTTTATAACCAAATTTTGGGTTGTAACCCAAAACAATGAAAACGGGATCTAAATAGTTAAACAGGCATTGTAGGTTCAGACAGCCCTTGTCACTGCATGCAGCAGGTGGACACCTCCCAAATGTCCTTCAAAAGGATGACAAAGAGGGAGGGTGAAGTCAGAGGATTGAATCTCTTTCAGCCCTATAAGAGCACCAAGCACAGATGCACACCGAGAGGTGGGTAAAGTAGAAACCAGGAACAAACTGGTCACTTATGGGGCCAGAGGGACAGTGCAGTGGATAGGCCTCGTATGCAGCCAACCTGGGTTCAATCCCCAGTTCCCCCAAGCCCTTCGAGGAGTGATCCCTGAGCAGAGCCAGGAATAAGCCCTGAGCACTGCCAGGTGTGGCCCCCATAAACAAAAAAAAAATGGCTACTGGTTTTCGATTCTGTTTGTAAAAAATGCATGGGCCGGCTAAGTCCCCTGAGAGTGAATACACACTAGTCACTGGAGAGGGGCTGAAGGAGAAGGAAATAGGGGTCTGGTGGGGGGCAGCTGCTTCACAGAGACAGTGTTAATCGCTTTGGAGGTAATGAACATGTTTGAATTCTATAGAGGTGGTGGTTGCTCAACATTAAATATATTAAAGGCAAGTCGGCTGGTCAGTTTACAATGGTTAGTTGTTTGCTATACAAATTTCAGTTAAAAAACAAAACCAAGAAACATTTCAAATACTACACAAGTATTTATTAAGAAATAAATGCCTGAGTAGGCACCCTTGTACCTCACTGAACTTTGCCAAGTAGTAACATTCGCTTACTATTTTAGGATTCAGGAAAGAAAGCTTTCTGGTGTCACCCAAGCCCGCTGAATATCCTATTGTTACTTTCTTATTTCAAAACCTCCATTCCAAGGACTCCCCTGGCATGAATGAGGTGCTTGTGATTTCCAAGCCCCTTTTGGATCTTTACGGCACACTAAACTACCCATGTTAGGAACTACCCATGACTGTGTTTTATATGTTTTCCCACATGATGAAGAGTCCTCTCCCTATTCTTCTGCAACCTACTTTTCGTGTAACACGGTTTATCCATTCCTTTATTGTGGGTATTCGGCTGTTTCCAGTATGTGGCTTTTAGTATCACAGACGGCATGGCCAAGGAGAGTCTGACATTTGCCCTTTCAGCTCATGGATCTTTCTCGTTCTCCTGCTGAGGTCAAACTCAGAGCCTCCAGTGTGCCAAATGTGTGCTCTAAACCTTTGTGCTAGCTCCCCTGCCCCTTGCTTTGTATTCTTGGATAAAGAAGTTTCCCCAGTTGTATAAGCTTCAGGATAATTCTGACCCTCTGCTTCTCTGGTCAACAGCCTATGAAAGTCTCCACTGTTCTTCGTCCCATTGTTCCTTGCCACGCTTGGTAGCATCAGACTTGGTAATTTTATGCTAATTCTGCCACACGCTTGATCCCTTTTTAAATCTGTAGCCCAGCGCGTGGCCAGTTACTCACAGTTCATATTTTCATGCCTGACCTCCCCATAGTGTGGGAGGTGCAGATGTCAAACTTTTGGCCTCCTGGCCCAATAGGGTGGGGTTCCATCCCCACCCCAGGCTGGGAGACGGCTGGCCGGGGATCAGGGAAGGGCAGGCACTGAGGGTGGAGCTCTGCACCCTCTCCCTTGCCCAGCACCCCACTTCACAGCTCCTGACCTCTGGGAGCCACAGGACCTTCACCCAGTCAGGCTATCAGAGCCCTCCACCGTGCCCCTGGCCACGGATACGCAATTGATGAGGGAGTGGGGTGCCTGGCGCAAACTCCCAAGATAGGCCCAAATGGAATGGAAGGTCTGGGGCCTTCCAAACTGTTCTTTTGGTCTCGCCAACGGGACCACTCTTCCCTTGATGCTGTGGTCGCCTGTTAATCTTGAGCCCATAGTCGGTCACACAATAGGATGTTAACACAGGCTGGGTTTGGCCTCAGATCTGGACAAGGCTTCAAGAGAAAAATCTCTTTAACTAAGTGCCAGGAGCATCCCTGCCTCAGCTGCCCCTCATGTTCCAGAACTTGTGAAGGAAATGCCTGTGTGCAGGTTATAAAATCATTAACCCAAGCCCTCCCTTCCTGCCAGGATGCAGGGGTACCCCTCAAAGCACTGCCAGGATTTGAGAGAGAGGGTGTCTGTGAAAAGCATCTCCTGGGAACCCAGGACCTCTTCCTGCCTGTTCACCTCACACACAACTCAGAGTTCCTGGTGAGAGACAGAACTTCTAGTTGCACTTTGGGGTGCAGGGGAGTTACCCGCAATGCCCTTGTGGCATCAGTCCTCAGCATGAACAAAACATAGCCGTTACTAAAATAAGGATATTTCTATAGGACCTAAGAGTTAGTACAGGTGTTTAGATGCTGGCTTTAAGCACAGCTGACCCAAGTTTCATCCTCAGCACCACATATGATCCCCAGAGCCCCACCAGAAGTGACCCTTGAGCACTGAGCCAGTAGCAAGCCCTGAGGCACAGCTGGATGTGACCCA